GTAATCCAAAATTTATGGGCCGACCTGAAACCGGCCCGAAACCCGTAGCAGACGGGCTTTTTTTCATGCGGACCGTTACCGAGCTCATATGTTGGCGGGCCAACCCGGCCCGGACCACCCGGATTGACACCTCTAACTGTGATTACGTGGTTTTATTCCTCAATCCTCATACAAATTTTTGGCCTTAATAAAAATCTGGAGAAAGATAAAAAAATTTATAGGGTTAGGCTTTCATTCTTAAATTTCTTCTCTCACGACAATTTCCCTTTTGTCAATTTTCCAAATTTATTCAGCTCTTTAAGCCTCGATTACAAAAAATATTTTTTTCTTTACTGCTTATAAGTTTTTATTATTGGAGAATCTGATCAAAGTCTCAATTTTTCAGCATTTCATACTTTTCGTAGATACATTTATATAATTTCAAGATCGGAGCTTTGCATTATACTATTTTGTTTTGTGATTTAATATTAAAGTTTAGTACATATCTTTCTTATTTTTCGGTTTTAATTTTTGTTCTTAGGTTTAGAACTTTTGAATCTTTAGGAATCGTGTTCGTGCAATTACAGAGTCCTTAGTAGTACCGTTAGGAGTGTTTACATTAAGAAAAAAATTTGATTTGCATCAGTTTATTTCAAGGCACATTTTGAAAGTAGAATTTGTATTCTTTTAGTGGCGATTTGAGTTTAGGCAGTAATTTTCAACATCTTTTTTAAGTTTTCTAGTGTTATGAGCTGTTTGGGAGTTTAAAGAAGCTAATGGGTCACTGGCTTTCCTAATAATTGTTTGAATTCTTTTGGATTTTATTGGTACTGTAAAATTATTAGAACTTATGTACTAAATTCTAGTGTTTTTTGGGGAAATTTTTAGTACTATTTTGGAGTGAATGTATCCTTCTGGGATGGATTATGGGCGTGAAAGTGGCACACTGTTGATTCCCACATGTTTTGTGTGGCTATATGGTGGAAGGAGCGTGTATATCACTGGCTCGTTTACTGGGTGAGAGTTAATTAGCGCTACAAAAAGAATTATTTCCTACCTGTTGAATTTACATCTTTTTGGTCATCATTTTAGGATATTTTGGTTGTTTGTTGTGTTAAATTGTTTGTATGGTCGATCGGATATACTGTTAATTTGTTAAAGGTGGACCCAATGGCCTATGACTCCTCTTGAACGATGCCCTACCATGTTTCAGACCATTTGTAGCCTGTCTCCCGGTTATCACCAGGTTAGTAATGTAATGTGGCATTCTGTTACAAAGTTTTTAGTGCTTCATTAATGACTCGGCTTTTTCATGATTAGATATGATCTAAGCTACTATGAAAAATTGATTGTTCAAATGGCGATTTATGTTTTTGGATTTTTCTCCACAAGGAAAGATACTGATTTTCAGTGAATTTGGTTTCTTTAGAGGGGACAGTGTTGTGCTATATAATCAAGGGATGCTGACAGTGTCTTCTTATATCATTAATTTTATGGTCATCTAAGATATAAAGATTAATGACTCGCAAAGATGAGACTTATTTATGGTCTCGGTTGG